AAACTATGTTGTTTTAAAAAAAAAAAAGAAAAAAAGAAAGAAAGAAAAATCTGTAAACCACTTATTTCTCCTACAGCCTAGCCAGCTTCAGATGTAGTGTGTTGTGGAAGACCTGATTTTAATGTAAAAGGTTGGAAACAAATTAAATGCTACTGCATATTTTTAAAGAGTTGGAGGTCTCTGCTTAACTGTAAGGAACCTATTATGCATTATCCAACTAGAAATGCTTTCCAGGTTGCCCAAGTACTTGCAGTTTCCCTGTGCTGTGCCTTTCTTGCATCTGCAGTACATTTAATGACTCATGGAGAACCCCATGTAGGTACCCTAAGCATCAGGAAACAAAGCCTTTGCGTTGTATGTGAAGAAAGGTTACAAAGCTTGGTATCAGCAGCTGCAGTATTGCAAATATCTTGCCTCTGCATGTCCGTGCACATGCTTTACTGCCCCCCCCCCAGTGCTAACTAGCTAACTGCGCTAACCTTTGCGAGATTGTAAGCCACTAGGCACATGGCAGGGTCCCATCTCCAGTGGTGAACACTGAGCATCAGTGAGAAATTAGAACTTCAAAGAAGAGAAGGTGAACGAGCAACCTTAAACAAGCAGGGGTGACACTGCTGACTATCTAGTTACGGCCAAGGACAGGATATACCCATGGGATCTTGTGTGACTGCCACTACATCTGAGAGCCAGGTAGAAGAACACCAGCTGAAGACCTGCCTTTCCAAAGGACGGCTCAAACTCAGCTACCCACTCGCAACAGCTGTACACCGCTGAGTGAATCATTTCAGGTAAATTCCTTGTGTAAGTTCAGGACAAAGCCATTAGAAATGTGCCATAATTGCTGTCATCATCTACGGTAGAGTAAGCTTACCAGTACAGAGGTGTCAACACTGTTCCTACTGTGTGCTCTGTCTCCACGTACCACTTGACTGCCTTAAACGGGTGCCAAGTAGAAGTGACTTTTTTATGCTTGTTATCAAAGGTAATTCTTGCTAATTTGTTATGTGCCTTACAGTTTGATTTGGATAGGCTTAGCTATAAAAATTGGGATACAATTTACCTTACCTTAAGACTTTGTGATTTGAGGGGGAAAAAACTATAGAGTTATCAGGGGGTTTTATTACTTTGGGCTTTCTCTGCGTTGTATTTTTTTCTGATTAAATACATATGTGGACGTACTTACACCAGAGATAGTGTGTTAAGCTAAAAAAAGAAGGCCCTTGCGCTCTGAAATAAGTATCCACACAAAGCATTTATTGCACTGCACATTCCCACTCTCCTACGCCCCACTAATTGAAAATAATCCCTTATTTGTCATCCTCTAGCCTAGAGAGATAATGGGGGGGGGGGGGGGGGAGAAAAGGGCAGAGGTCCTCCACCTATCAGAAAGCCAGGCACCAAGAAACTGAATTAATGACTATAGTACACACCAGGGATAGATTATCCAGCCATCTCATCAGCCCTGCTCATTGTTATTAGAATAGCCCATTACCATGTATGTTTTTTTGACTGTTTTCCCAGGACTGAAATTAATTGAGTACACGCAAATAGTAATGGCCAGATACATTTTATTTTTCCATAAAACAGACCTGATGATTTAGAAAATGTCTATATAATAGGCCCACAGAAAGCCATAGGAGTTTAATGTTCAAGACCACTTAGAAGCAGTGTGTACAAGTTAAGTGTTCTCTCTCTAGTGTACATTAAATTATTTCCGATACCTCTTACAGTGACCGTAGGCATATTCAGCTATGGAAATTAGGCTCCTAGATTAAAAAAAAAAATACATTTTTACAGATGAATGCACTTGCTGTAACCCCTTAATTTAGAAGAAACCTTCCATTTAATAACTCAAAGGGAAGAAATTGTGCTACGTACTCTCTTCAGGTTGTTCTCACCACTAGCATAGCCCACCCCAATCAGCAGAGAAGGCCCAAGCCTTAGCCTTTACCCACCACATGTATCGACAGATCATGAGCTGTCCAAAAGGATGAAAGATAAATACAGTTGAGAAGATTAGCACTCAATGAAGGTGGTGGCATGCATTTGTGTACCTCTGGTGTTACGTGATCTAATGTAACGTATATTGAAACTATTATATATAAAATGTATTTATATCCTAAGTTATTTTCTTAATTATAAAAGGCTTCCTAGAAATGCTATAAGCCTGTACTTCCCAACCCCCCTACCCAATAAAGTATTCTTATACATTTGGTATTCCAGGTAATGGTTTGTAGTTCTGTTTGGTAACACTTTACTTTTTTAGTTGTGTATCATGCCCATGTGCTTATTCATTTTGGCATGCTGTAATAGTTAATTCAAGAGCAGGCTTACCATAAAGTTGTGATTTCTAGTCTTACAAAAAGTCTCACAAGTGAAGGCTAATTGCAGAAGCATAGCAAAATAAAATGAAAGGTGACACATAATGCCATTTTCTTGCAAAAGAATGACAAAAGGCTAAGTGGAGGAAGCAGCCATTATTTAAACACATCTAGCTGTTGCCATGGAAATTACTAACAAATTAGAGCAGAATTGTTTAAAGAAGAAAAGCTGGATGAAATCAATTTAATGTGCTGCAGCTGCAGCCATTAGACTTGGAGAAATTGGCAATTCATTATTTTTTTTTCTGTAGGAACAACTTACTCACTGGGTAATTGCCATCAATGACTCTTCATTGGGGAAAAACCCCTAGATAAGACTTCTGAGGGGTAGCTTTACAAACCTGCATGTAAGAGTTTATTGGCCAATTGACTAACATGGGCTGCACTATTTTTCTTTGAGTGGTTTGTGGGTTTTTTTCTTGCTCTTACTTTTCCCATGGTAACTTTAGGTAGGATGTTAGAACTAGAACAGAGAACAAAACAAGACGTTACGACAACTTGTAAATCTGTGGTTCGCCTGTCTCCGAAGTACTGTGTAGCATTCTGTCCCCCTCATCTGAAGGACACAACAGACCTAGAAAAGGCCGCTATACAGGCAAAGCTGATGATCAAAGGTAAGATGAGTAACTGTTTAAGCTACTGTCTCTCTTCTAGATTTAATGTGTGGTGCATTAAATGATATAGAGGTCTGCTGAATTATGAGCTGTATTGAAAGGCTGGATGGAGGCAGGCTGCTCACCATCCTGCCTAATGTAAGAACTAGGAGTAAACATGTGAAGCTGGAACGAAGCTTAAGAAAAAACAAAAGTGGTAGTTCTTAATGTGGTGGGGATTAGATCTGTGGCACTCCTCTACTAAAAAACACAGGTACCAGAAGTTTTTTTTGTACGGACAAGTTTGTAGATGAGAAAGCCACTCAAAGCTGTTGTATATAGAGGAACTTACATATAGCTCTGGAAGTGCTCTAAATTGAAAATTGTTAGAGGCTGGAAGAGTATTAGGGGAGGAAGCATCATCTACGTTTATCTTGTTCCCATATTTTCCTGGGCATTGCTTATGGGCACTTGTGGAGTAGGATTCTGGGCAAGATGGACCCTGGTCTGCCCCAATAGAGCTATTCATTCTTAGGTGCATGCACTATTGCATTGTTGTTCCTAGGTGGAGGACTTTCCGATTCAGTTGCTATTAAGGTGTCAGCAAAGATAAAGGAGTTTAAGGACTGAGTGGGTTTTTTTTTTTAGTCTGGTAGGAGTGATTTAAAAGGAATTTGTTTCTACGTAAGGGATGCAATTTTGTTACAGACAGCTACAATGTACTAACTATAATTGAAATAAATATAAGCAAGCCTGCAAACCTGCAACACTTCTCACCCTGCTACTGAAAGATTTTTATACAGATTAGAGCCGCAGGGCTTAAAAGGTAACTATTAACAGAAAGACTGGATACGTATTGACAGGAGCCCTTGTCCAGCAGTCCTACTGACACCAGAAAGCAATGCCTTTATTACTGTTTGTTGAAGACCCCATAGATAGAGGAAAGAGCTAATAATAGAGTTATGCCCAATTTTGACAGTCATTAAAAGGATAAAGTGCACGCTTCATTCAGAAAGGACATGAGCCTTGGCGTTCAACCAAAATACAATCAATCAGTAACATTTTATACCTAACTAATTTCCTATCATGGTTTCTCCTTCAATGCCTAAGAGCAGTACTTGGACACCTCGTTACAGACAGAAGGGAATGCAAACTTAGTCAAGTCTTTGCTGAATGTTGAGTTTAAGTCAAAGGCCCACAAGCAACTACAACAAGTATTACGCTGCTTTATAGCTCAGGTCAAAGGAAAATTTATCACAGCTAACAGGAGTCCAAAGAAAGCCCACTAAGAGACAGATGCATAAGACTAACCCTACAGAGGACAAAGTCATTGCGGAATAAAAAGCCTTTTATTAGATTTTTACAAAATAACCTGTAAAAAAAAATATTCACCTCGTATCAGATATATGCAATATATAAACTTACACATTCCTACCCACTACCTCACAGATTCATAGTTTGTCCATTACTTCCTTCAAAGAGAAAGAACACCTCCATTTCTATGCCAAAAACCAGATGAAGGCTCACCTGTTTTTTCGTCCTCTGCTGACTTCAATCCTAAAGAGCAGATGGTGCGACAACAGTAGATTCACAGAGGTTATGGTTTCCTGCTACACCTTCTCTAGCAGCAAAGTCTCTCTATGAAGTTTGTTCCCCCTCGGTCATCCTGGTCTCACTCTTGGGGAGGTATTTTGCTTTTCTCTTTTTAAAGCCA